TGGCTGTCACAGGAGCCGACAGGAGGGAGCTCTGCACCCCCTCCCCACCACGCTCGCTCCTTAACTCCTGTGGCCTCTGGAAAGTGCAGGAGCACTCTCTGGCCAATGGAGTGACCTTGGGGACAGGACAAGACCACAGGGATCTGCCTTTTGCTGCCAGGAGGGTGAATCTCCTTGTACCACGGGGCTGAGGAAGCCCCAAGGGCAAGGGTGCATCACCCCGGGACTGCCGGCTTGGGGGTTCCCTGGCTGGGGACCCCGTGGGGCATGGCAGGGCAGGGGCGCACAGTGCGGGGACCGACGTGCTGGCTGAGCTATTCGCGGTCGGTAGTGCTGCCCGGCCGCTCCAGCTGACTCATGTCACGTCAGGGCCAGGCTGGCTTCCCAGCGGCATGGAGCCTCCCCCCAGCCAGTGGCACTGGGCCGAGCTGCGGCCAGGGCAGGTGGCGGGGGCTGCAGGTTATAAGGTTACAGCAAAGAAAGAGCAGCTCCCAGCGGGACGCCTCAGCTCGGCGCCTGGGGATGCTCCAGCTCCGTCCCTCATGCGGGGGCCTGGATGCAGCCCAGGGATGGTGGGGTCCGGCTGCAGGGATGTGCTCTGCCAGCGGGGCTGAGCCGCAGGCGGGGGAGCAGTGGGGCTAGTCCCCTTCGCCTGGGCAAGCGTCACCAAGTCAGTGGTGCTAACGGCATTGTTGCCCTACCCAGGCTTGCCTTGTGGGCTAAATCTTTAACCAGATCAAGGGTTTAACTTTATCAGTGGCTGGAAAAACATGGCACCGCTTCCCTGGGGCAAAGTATCTTGATCCCTGCAGAAATCCCAGAGGTGGCTCCTTTTCCTGGGCCCCATTCGGCAGCTCCCCAACACTCGTGTCTGGCCCTTCGGCAGGGGGACCCACGGGACCCTCCGGGGCAGGGAGCACCCTGTGCCCCATGCATGGCTTGGGCTCCCAGCTGGCCCCGTCTTCCCTTCAAAATCACGATTTGCACAAACCCAGGCGCGCGGGCACAGCGCCAGCATCAAGGAGCTGGCGCTTCCCCTTGCAGGGTGTACCTGGGCACGGACTGCCCTCGCGGCGGGCAGCGTGGGAGCAGAGCAACCGCCGGAGCAGAGACTTCCGTGTCCCCTCGAGGGCAGCCCCCCCGCTGGCACCACAGTCCTCCCGCCAGCTCCCCAGCCCTGGAAAGCCTTCCACAACCCCTGGCCAGGGCAGGATGATTGATTATTGTTATTAAGGATGGAGAACGGTTTCTGTGCACACCCAGGTAGTTCAAGAGCAATTAGTCACCCTCTGGCGAGGGGGGGCCAGGCTGCCGCTCTGTCCCTGCCGAGGCGGGAGCCCTCCGCCGCCCAGGCGAGGGTCCGAGGCGGCTCCTGGCACTCCTGGCGCAGCGGAGGGAGCCCTGTCTCCTTGCGGGCTGTATCTGATGGGCACGATCCCCGCCAGCCCTTCCTGGAAAAAGGCAGAGCTTTGGCAGCGGCGCAGCCCCAGGGCAGGGCTCTGTCCTGAGCTGACCGCTGCACCCCCAGGGCATCTGATGTGGGGGGAAGAAACAGGGTCTGTGGCCCCCAGCCTGGCCCAGCCCCGTGACAGGGATTCACCCCCCCAGGGTGATACACCCACAGCAGCTTGTGCTTTTATGTGGGGTGGGTGCAATGGAGGAGCTGAGGAGAGGGGAGGGATGCTCACGCCCGGGACGGCAGGTACCACCCGGCAGCCCCCAGCACAGCGGTCCTGCGGGGCCGCGCCAGGCACAGCTCCAGCCAGGGGCTCATCTGGCAGCGCCGCGACAGCAGGAACATCGGCAGCAGCTGGCTGCCGGCTGGGAAGGGGGGGTCATAATGATGGTCCGTCTCAGCAAAGGTACCAGAGCATGAAAGCAATTTCACACTTTATTAGACAATTCAGGTGCTGGCTGCACAAGCCTGGAGCAAGCACTGCTGCTCACACCTCCACTCCTGTCTCGCAGCCCCAGGGCCGCTCTCCGTGGGGCTCAGCCCTCCCTCAGGCCACGCAGCACCATGCTGATCGGGGCCGGCGGCACGGTGAGCAGGGCCAGCGCAGGCTGCTGGGGGCCAGGGTGCCGGGGCTGCGGGCTGCTTCACATGGGCCACCCGGCTCCCACACATGTATGGGTGCCTCAGGACAGCGCAGCTGCAGGCTGGTTCTGCTTGGAGCCAGCTCAGCCTGGCAGTGGTGGTGAACTCGAGCACCATGCCTGCAAACACAGCTCTGCTTGGGCTGGCTCTGCCCTTCAGCCTGGGGTAGCCACCCTGCTCCTGCTGCCTGGGGGCTGCGTCCCTCCAGCTCCCCTCCTTGCCTGCCCACTGCAGCCCTGCTGCACCCCTTCTCCCCTCCTGGCACCCCACGGTGAGGGGACAGGTCGGGGTTTGGGAGCCTGGGCTTGGGGCTTCCCTGGCAGCTGCCTTCCTCTCATGCCTCGCTGCCGCCTGGGTGCCCCAGCAGAGCCAGCGGACACATCAACACCTGGGCACGTAGCCATCCTCCGTGCAATCCAGGTGTCTCCATCTGCAGATGTGCTCTGTGGCTCCCCACCCTGCCCACGGCCACTGCCGTGTCCCCACGGACAGGCATGCCCCGCAAGGCAGGGGAGAGCAGAGTCTGAGCTGCCACTGCCTGCGCTCCGGCACGTGGCCGGGCTGGCGCCCTGCACCCCGGGGACACGGCTCCATGTCACACCCCGTGGGTGGACACTGTCCAAATGCCTGCACGTCCAGGATATGAATCAGCCCGGACAGGAGTGCAGCAGCCGCTCCTGGACAACCTGAGCTGCCCAGCAGGCTGCTCTGGCAGCCAGGCTGTGCCGGTGCCAAACCCCTTGCAGGTCAGCAGGCAGGTTGCAGGCAGCAGCGCCTGCCCTGCTCCACTGCCACCTTGCAGCTCAGCCCCAGGCATGGCAAGACCCCAGCCTGGCACGTTTCTCTCCCCCTCACACAGACCTGCTCCCACGGTGCTGAGCCATGGCACAGCGGCACCCAGCCAGGGCAATGCCTAACCTTGACCTGACCTCCTGGCGAGGAGCCATCTCTGCCTGGTTGTCCCCCGGTGCCCCTGGCCACGAGCATGTTCCACCGGGCCAGCCAGAGCATTCCTCCCGGGAGAGCCTGTCCTTGCCGGGCTATTTAAAGGCACACTGGTGCCCTTTATTCCCCCCTCATGTTTAGGCTGGAAGAGCCCTGTACCCTCCGGTGACTTCAGGGGGGCACTTCCAGGCTTGGGGCAGCAGTGGGTGCAATGAGTTTGGGTGAAATCATGGGAGAAGTGAGCGATATCGGTGCTCCGTGTCCTGCAGCCAAGTACTAGGGCACGTCCTGGGGACAGACCCCATGGGGAAGGTCCCACGGCCATTGAGGCTGGGAGCAGGACTGGTGGATACTGCAGAGCCCAGCTCACTCCTTCGGGTCCAGAAACCGAAGGAGCCACACAACGTAATTCCCTTCTTCCTAGCAGGAACATCCACAGCGTGCTCCAGCCGCTGCCAGGACCTCGGGGCAGGCAGGGCACTGGTGCCACCACCACTGGGCAGGGTGCTGGTACTTGGCTGGCTCAGCACCGTACAAAGGAGCCTCTTGGTGCCTCAGCTGCACCCAGCTTGGAGCACAAGCGCAGTCTCTGGCAGGCGGCGGGCAGCTGGTGCCTGACACAAGCAGCGTGTCCCCAGCGTGCCGCCACCTCCTGCAGAGCACTGGTGTGTGGCTCGTGCATCTCCTGGTGGGATGTGCATGGGCTGGTCCCACCTTGCCCTTCACAACTGTCAGCCCTGGCAAGTGCTGGTAGATGGACATTTGATGGGCAGAGTGGTGGCCCAGGAGAAGCAGCGGGGGTCTGGGACACCTCGCAACAGGCTGCACCCCCGTGCCGGCTGCAGGCAGGGCAAAGGGCTCCATGTGGCCAGCACTGAAACGCAGCCAGCACTGGTGGTGGCAGGAGGAAGAGAAAGGGGAGCTGTTTTTTCAGAGCACATGAAATCCAGAGTCCTGATGAGTGGGACAGAAAAAGCCCAACTGGTTTTATAAGCTGCCTATCAAGTCCTGCCCACCCCAGGTCTCCTTCCAGCAGGCAGATCAGGGCACAGGCAGCAGCAGTTTCTTGGCACTCCTTGTCCCACTGTCACCTTTCACCCTCCGAAGGGTTCAGCACCCACAGGCTGCGTGGCAGGACCTGCCCGAGCTGCTGACTCCTGCCGTCGCCTGCGCTGGTGCGGGGCTGATTGCATCTGCGCCCCGCTGAGCTGGCAGGAAGGCGGCTCGGGAGGGAAATCCGACCTGATGTGATTTGATTAGGAACGGAAAAATCCGGAGGAGCCATCAGCAGTGAGCTGGAGGTGCGAGCCCTGCTGCTGCAGAGCTGGGGCTGGGCAGGCGAGCCTCAGAAACACAGCCCCTGCCCAGTGGCCCCCAGCCTGCCCACTTTCCCACCCCGAGGAGCCCATCAGCCTTTCCCCAGGCTGGGAGCATCCCCAGGCAACGTCCCCAGCTCCGGCGCTGCCGTCCTCTCCCAGCCTTCGTGTGGGTGAGCTCAGGGCTTTCAATAGCACCTGGGCAGAGGTAGCAAGCCCCCAGCCCCCCCGCAGATAAAGCCCCAGGACCCTGCAGATATGAAGGAGGGTGAGCCCCACAGGCAGCTCTACCCCAAACCAGGCACCTGGACCCACGTGCGGGGTGCACAGCAAAAGCAGAGCAGCATCTGGGGCCTGTCCCGACCTGCCTGGCACCCACCTCATCCCTCCCCACACGGCACAGGCTTGGGTGAGGACATGCCACCTCTGCCCTCCTGCCCAGCCCACAGCCACGTCCGCAGGGCAGCACCGCAGGAACCGGCACCCAGCCACCGTGCCGCCAAAGCGCGTCCCGTGGGGAGCGCGTGGGTGGCTGAGCGTGCTGCCTCCCCGCCGGGGAGGGTGCAGGAGCTGGCGTGCCAGCGCCCGCCAGCCAGACCATTGCACCTTTGCGGGAAGCAGCAGGTGCCAAGGGCAGCCAGGACAATGCCAGGCTGCTGCACCGGCGGTTGCTTCTGTGCTCTGCTGCCCACGGTGGGCGAGGGGTGGGCAGCATGGCACCGCGGGCTGAGCTCTCCTGTGGAGGGAGTGTGGTGCCTGTCCCCGAGGGCTGCAGCTGGGAGCTCCTGAACTCGCCTCTGACACTATGTCAGCGCTGCCGTGGGCACGGCTCCCTGCCCTGAGCCCCATCAGCATCACATAACAGCACAGCATCAGTCAGCCATGGGGAAACTGAGGCACAGAGCTGCGACGCAGAGGTAGGAGCGAGTGCCATCTCTGTCCCCAGGCCGAGCCTCAGGTCAGGGACCGACCGACACAGGTTGGTTCTCCCAAGAACCTCTTCCACGGGGCCTGTGCTTCTCGAGAGCACACGCGTGTCAAACCACTGGAGGTCTGCGTGGGTCGGCAAGGGGGCCACGGTTTCCCGAGAGCCCCGGAGCTCTGCTCTCTGTCCGCAGCGCCGGCTGGGAGGGAAGCGGCGCACGGCGGCG